AAGGCGTACGTGGACGCGGACGAGCAGTCGCGGATCGCTCCCCAAAAACCTAATCGCCGGACATCCCGTGCAAGGTTCTCAGGCGGACGAGGGTTCCGGAGGCACCTGCTCTCCCGCTACTCCGTGCGCGCAGAGGTACGGGACGGGCAAACCAGAGGGCTGCTGAGATGTGGTTTCTCTCGGGAGTGGTTGCGGAAGATGGAGATCTGGACTGACGGAGGACTGCGGCCTCGGCCTCGGCTTCTCAATTAAGATGGATAATTTCCAACCATATAAGCTGAGTCAACGTTCAGTCAAAATCCCGTATAGTATTAAACCATACAATGCTTAATGTTACATACAATAGAGTTTTATTTGATTTATTAAATATTATATGGACGAAGCCCATAATATAACCAACAAGCTGCTCTTTTTTTTTAAGGGCAGTGCTCTATGGTTAGTGCCGTAGAAGATCCCTGCCTGAAATGGTAGTCCCTTTCTCTCTCTTTTTTAATTAATAAAATGATAGTCGCTTTCGGACTAATCTAAGCTGGTACGTCTCTCGATGTACTTGCGTTGCCAGCCAATCGCAACACGCCCTGCGCGCAACTAAACGACTCATCTTCATGACACCAGTCGCTAACGACAAATCAAATGGTTAAGCAACTCACGTGGGCTCTCGATGTACTTCCATCCGCACCGATTCCACGGGCGCGTGCATGCGTAGACAAATCCCCAACCCAATCGTCCAATCACAACATCCTAGGCTACCCGTAAAATTTTGCCGCTCCGCCTCCGGTTGGCTCGCTAATCAAGCGCACGCCCATGTGGCCGCGTGCCTCTGTTTTGACAAAAGCGATTGGTTTTATTTCGCCTTTTCCGCGAGAAGAAACAAAGGCTGGGGAGGAATATCGTGCGCGGCGTGGTGGTGGTTGGCTCATCGGCATCGGCGGCGACAGTTGATGCGGTTGGAGGCTGGGAGCGCGCCCTGGTTCAAAGCATGGCCGATGGCGTATGAGCATGAGCTCCTCCTCTTCTTCTCCTTGGGGAAAAGAGAGGAGGGCATGGCGCAAGCAAAGCATCTGATGCCGGTTATGGCCAGGGAAAAAAACGAGTTGTGTATGTGTGGGTGATGTGATAGGTCATTGGTTCGTCCACTGAGCTGGTGGTAGTAGTTGAGCCGTGGAGATGTTCTCGGTGTTTCTTTTTGAGCTTGGCCGTAGCCCGTAGGTTCAGTGGTTTACTCTCAAGGAAGAATGGCAGTGTACAATCTTTTGACCGACTCTAGATCAGCATCACAGTTCCTGCTACAACGAAACTAGCGGCACCAGATCAGCATCTGGCCCACTTAGATAGTATACAAACAGGCCCTTTAGCCCACTTATGATGCTAAAGCCCACGGCGAGGTGTCTGCCTAAGGCCCATAGCACCCCCAG